GGAGCAACATTGGGCAGACGGCCGGAAATGCGGGCAAAGCCATGCAAGTGTGCGTTCGCCGCACGTGTAACCTTTAATTTAATTTTCCTGTATTAAAGTCTTTTGTTTCCCTAAAAGTTCGTTTAATGTGAGGAAAGACAATACAACATACAGTACTTGCGTTTGCTCGTATACACAATACTAAAACTCACTACTCTTTCACCGGTTTTTAACGCCAATGAAACGTGTTGCAGTGAGCAGACGGGCAAGCGGGTAAGCGTTCCTTCGAACTGGAAAGGCTGAAATTGGCACCACGACGGCACGTAAGGATTGAAGAAACAAATTGTTCTAAAAAAATTAATATCGAAAGAAAATATCATGTCTTTTTTAAAGTATTTTTTGGAAGAATTGACAGCGCCCTGGGAAGTTTTTTCGGTTGTCAAAAGTTGCGAGTTTGATAGCTTTACGCACTGCAATTTGTGTATTTTTACATGGATTTCACAAATTGGCTATATAATGTTCTCATTGATTAATTGACTATTTTCATTTTATAACTTGTTAATTAAAAATGCTGTAGTTCACACCAGTGATGACAATTTGTACATTTTTGAGTGCCATACTTGTTCGAGCCTTTGAAATTAGATTATAGGCAACAAATTGTATCAGAGTTTGAAAAACTACATATTAAAATGGCTTAATTGTATTCTTATTCTTATTATTATTATCATTATTACAAATTGCGGCAATGTAGGCTTCCAATAAACGAGACGATCGCAAATATACGCCATTTAACAACAACAGTCTTTCCAGGAAGGTCTTATTTTGCTTTCTTTTAAGCATATAAAAACTATGAAATCGTCATCAAGGTAGACAAAAAGTCAAAGCTGGATGCAATATAAATTCCTATTCGTAGCTTTAAAACAGAACACACTTTTGGTGTCTGACTCCGATTTTTTCTTTGGGCATCGTAGTGAAAACAGCGTTTCTTGATTTATACGTTTTATTATCATATTCTAAACTCTTCATCAGTGGCGATATTTTGTAAAGTTCAGATTGATTTTGTTATTATTGTGCTTGGGAATAATGATAAAGCAATTATTCATATGAATACCTGCAAACTCATTAAAAGGCCCGCAGTTCATTATTTCACGTGACAATTATCCGAGCGAGAAAAGGTAGTAAAAACACACAAATATCAGCACTGATTTTTTTCAACAAATTCAATATTCTATGTTACCTCTAAGGGGCATGAAAAGCCCTGTCTTAAAAGGGACACTGGTCTCCAAAGTATCTTTAACTGCCTGGATCGGAGGCGTACTACACAAAATAGGTTTTCCGCAAATAACTTCTCTAGCTAAATAAGTACGCTGTGAGACACATCTTAATTTATAAAAGAAGCCGAAATTAACACCAATACCGAGAAGTTAAATTCAAAATAGAGTTTAGTTTCGCTTTCCTTCCAGAATTAAGGCGTTCCTCCTAGCGTAAATATTACGCTAAACACCGTTTATTTTTAGTATTAGGAGGTGACCGGTGTTTATAACACCCTAGCTTCCTCGTATAGCAGGAATAGTTTGTGTCGCTCAGTGAAGCCAGCAAAGTAGACAGGCTCAGCAGCTGGTATACCGGCACGCATCTCCGACCCTCACTAAAACCGCCATTTTAGAAAACGAGTGGTGCCACCTATAGTAAATTGGAGTCGCGAATTGATGTTTTTATGTGCAGTGTATGTGTAGGCGCTCAATATCAATGTTCAGCTGATGGTAGTGGTGTGCGCAATGTATCTACATGTGTGTATGATAAAGGTGCACAAAGGTACTTGAAGGACCCGAAGCGCAATGGTGGCGTGAGCCAATGAAATTATTTTTATAGCCCATAAATTGGGCATTACTTACTGCCACCTGGCCTAGCTACTTGCAATTACTCTGCTTGACACTGTCATTCGTGGCGAGCGATTTAACCTTCTTTTCAGGCTTCGCGGTGCCGTCCAATAGGCTGCATCGAATTAGCGCTTTTGAGAGCGGTTTTTGGTTTTGCGAATGGTTTACCACTCCTCCGTGATGTGCAGTTGACGAAGGAATTGTGGTTCGAGGAATAGCAAAGGTGAAACGTAAAGTGCGCGGAGTAAATGGGTACCGGTTGTCTCCGTTTAACATCGGAATGCTGACGATGAGAAGACTGAGTGACTGCTTTCAAAACGCAAGTTTCTTTAACTACGGGAGGAAGCCGACTTCGGAAATAAATACTGTTCGCGGAAAGCTTTTGTTACGCTTTTATTTGCTGCTCCTCTCGCCCCGTTCAATAGACGTAGCGTCCTCGTTATGCCTTATTGAGCTCGATTGGCCCGATTCGGGGCCGCCATAATGAGATGCAGCCGTCGTAGGAACTTTGCTGCCCTGCTTTTAGGACGAACGTTTCTTTCTTTCTAAAGGCACATTTTAATATTGACGCGATGAGCGTGTCCAAATATGGAGTTACCGACTATCTCAATGTTTTATCAGGTTTTGGGATCGAAAATTAGACATAGAGCTCACAAGGGAAGACTGGCACGCGTTTGTCGTAAGCAGCATGCATCTTGAGACGTCTCGAGGACCGAAAGTTGCCGCCGCAAATATTATTGCGAAAGCATTAAAGGGGCCCCCCGGAGCGTTCTGCGATGGTCTATTTATGGCGGTAACTCAATCTACAGGCCCTAAGAATCCTAAAAATCATAAAATTACGGTCATGCGCGGCGGATTTCCCTACTAATATTGCTATCAAAGTCCCCGGCACGCCTCTCTTTTTGAGATGACCCCGGAAAACGGGAGGGGCATCTCTTTACGCGTCAGCCAATAGCAAGCGAAGGATTCCGGCGTCACTGCGCGCCACCAACGCGGCCGACCGCCGACCCGCGGAGGAATCTCTGCGGACTTTGTGCTCGGCAGCCGTCGTTCGTCGCACCGCACCGTCGCGCTGCTACTGCAATACGCAGTCGCATTCCACAGATGACAAGGAAAAGTTTGACTCGTTGACGTGGAAGGATCGCAAAGCTGGCTTCGGAGTCGGGATCCACGGGAAGGAGGAACACGCGTCCCGCAAACGCACGCCTGTAGACGCCCCGGGAAGCAGACGAGACGACGCGCCGACGCATCACCCCCTAGCAACAAGCTTGCGGAGAAAACTTAGTTCGCTGGTTTTGGAGCGATAATTGCGGACTATGTATCCCGCACCACAATCAGTTTACGTTTTTCTCAAGCTCTAATTTACAACAAGCTTAAAAAGTGTTTCAATAATAACGCTCGCATTCACCGCGAGATGCAGCATTTCCATTGGTCAAGTTTTAGCGGGCAAAGAATGGGGGATTGTCTTCCAAGAGAAAATAGTCCCGATTTATTTTTTCTGCCATCTGCCTAATAAACGGTTTTGTAATCTAAAACTTTGTATACATATTAACTTGCACCTACTACGCAATATAACAACATAAACAGACGATCGCAGAAAGCTCCGGAGGGCCCCTTTAACTGTCTCATGGAGCAAAGCGGGCGGCCTCTAAACAGCGAGAAACACCACCTAAATTCCCATTTTCCCATTGGCTGAGTGAAAAGGCACCTATAGAGCCACTGACTGCGAGGTGTCATAGTTCCAAGGAACGTCATCCCACAGAGAAGCCCTCTTCGTGGCGCTGCGGCCGCCGGTAGAAGGAGGGAGAGGCTGGCACGCGCGCGGCCGTAGATATGGTGTCAGACGTGGCCGGAAGAGGGGGGCGAGGAGAAGGAGGAGCGGGAATTTCCCACTCCCTCTCCCTGTGCACTACTGTATCACGAGTTCTACACTATGCTTTCAGCCATGTCGCGCCGCCCAGCTAGCCTCTGCGGAGGACAGTGGGGCGCGCTGCTTGTAGGAATGATCTGCGTGGGGAAATGCTTCTGCATTCCTACGCGCGTAAGCAGTCTTAAGTGTCCTCCTGTAATTTTTTTCAGAAAGAGCCGATTCTCGGCAAACTTTTGTCTTGTTAAGTTTAAAATCTAAACGTCCCATATCTACTCTTTTTAGACGTCTAAATTACATGTCCGATTTCCGGACAATGGTTCTTTCGGAGCAAAGTCCAGTCTCACGTATTCGTCTATTGCAAGGCCCCTAGCAACGGTTTGTTTGGAGCAGTGACGCCACACGGGGTCAATTGATGCCATGCTAGATTTACCCCGACTGAGCAGTACACTGGCAACAAAAAGCACGACCTTGTCTACCTGGCACACGTTTCTGTTGCACGAGCGCTCGCGCGACGGGCACCCTAAGCTGGAAACACGCGGACCATCTTAACGTTGCATCGTCATTCGCAACCTTCAGTGATGGTGGTACAGCGGTGTGAGAATGACAGTCCCCAGCTCCTGGGTGATTGGCTTCAGAATGAAAGTGCTCGCTTACACGTTACTGACGTGGAAGTATGATATAAGGCTCCTATATCGCTCGTAATTCACTAAGTTGGATTTACTTACGCTTTCCAGACCCAACCTCGTACTGCTGTTCTACTATGGTGCCTGGAAGGCGTCTTCGACTGGTGTGTTTACCGCATGCAAAAAAAGAAGTTGTAGTCGATTTCCGCCCGATGACGTCATAGGAGTGTCACGCTGTCGCCGGTCGTGATCCTGGTGACGTCTGAATAGCTGTGGTGCATGTGGCAGACGCCTGTTCTGCTGCAGGTCCCTCTCCAGTGTGGCAGTCCACGGGAGCTTCGGCAGCCAGAAGTTGGGACGCGGTGACGAAAGCGACACTCACGTTCACTCGTGCTACTCGCAGCCTTTCGTTAGCATTTCTACAACCAACCGCCAGGATCGTAACATGCAACAGCACGACACTTGGACTTCTGTGACGTCATTTTCTGCCCCTTCGGAAACACTTTTTATGCTTGGGCAGCATTGGACGCTAAACACACCAGTCGAAGACACGCTCCAGTCACCACAATTCTGCGGTGATCATCCAGATGACAACCATTTTGAAAAGAAACAAGTGCGCCCTCTATAGGCCATGAAAATTGCGAATACCTTGGCAGTCCAGGAGGTAAGCCATGGCCGATGGAATCCTGGGTCTCCCAACGAAGCAGTCTCCAAGCTTGATGTAGGCTTCTCGAATGGCGGAGTACGTCCCTAGATGCACGTAGTCCCGGCCCAGGAATCTGAACGCGAACACGGGGCCGTACTGCTCCGCAAGGACGTTCAGCTTCTCTAAGGGTTGTGCACCTAGAGAGTATCCCACGAGGGGTAGCCCCTGGGGTCCCGGTGCAAAGTCGGCCTCATTCGTTCGCGGCTGCTCCGATCTGTCCAGGAGCCAACGGCACACGAGCAGGACCACACCAGAAGCCGCGACCAGAAGGAGCCACATCTTTCACTGTAGTTCGACGATGCACTTTTTGGGAGCCTTCATTCACAGACACAGAGGTTTCATGTTGACCTTTGAATATTATATTGTTTTCAGTCTCTTAGTCCTCTTCAATTACTAACCCTTTAAACCTGCAACAGCTCGAGACGGGTGTTCTTGGAAACCAAATGAAGAATGGCCCGATAGAAATGTCTAGAGCTTTGTTACTGAAGTGATCTGGTACAGTCTCCAGTTAAGTTGAAAGATCATGCCGTCAGGACTACACAAACTGCACTTAAACCTCACTCAAACTCAGTGGGATCCATAGACGATCATGATACCTTTAAATGGAGAGTCCTGTGAGCTGCTAAAGAAGACACTTTAATTCAACGAGAACTAATACTTCTTTAGAACGAAACGTGATCCTGAATCGGGACCGGTTCACATGAGGTTAGGAAAAAAGAAAGCGGAAGGGACCACAAAATCTGGTTGGGTACTGCGTTGGGGAGGTTCTAGAGGGAGCTAAAAAGAATGGATATGAAATTAGGAAAGATGAATGCTTTCCTGCAGAAATTTGATATCTTCTCCGGACAGACGACTCAGATATCGACATTATCTGAAGACAATGTCAAAGGAATTAATTACACGATATCGTCACCAAGCATTTCAAATCGTCGAGTACTCAATGCGCAACCGACACGCAGTTTTACAGCCGCAGAATAATACCTTGCCGGATATAACTGATTCCGGTAGAAACTATACTTATTACAAACACTTTAGTGTTGGCAATAAAAAAAAACACCGTATAATCTCCTTTCGGTGGCACAGCTCCTTTCCTTCACATGACAGCTTAAGAATGAAAAAAGTCCATTGACCCTGTATATCACATAACGGAGGATTGAGCTCTCCTCTTCTGCGTAGGAACTGTCCTCATACAAAAGTCAGTTTTTTACACTCCCGGTTGAAACAAGAAGAAATCGCAGTCGCCACAGGGTGGGTAATGCAGCTGATTCTGATAGAGCGGCTAAGGCGAGAGATCCTCGCCAGTTAGCACAGAAAAAATCACAGTCGAACTTTTCACAAGCTTGCGGATGTTGTGCAGGCACGTTAGGCAGGACTCACGTTGTCCCAGAATCGCGCAGGTATCCAGGGGGTCTTGAAGCACGAAACCAACGTCACATGTCACGAGAATGCGAGCTGCAAGGAGCGGGGGTTAACTCCGCAGGCTGGCCAACTTGTTTGCTGCGCTTATGGTTCGTCGGCACGTCTTGTAATGGGACCAAGCCGAAGCGCGGTCCTCGCCGCTCTGGCATACCTCCTTTCTTATTCCAAACGGGGCTTGTCACGCCCGGGGCTGAAACTCCACGTCCCTCGTCGAGCAGGGAAAGCACACTCGTGGCGCTGTTGGCAAGGGGCCAGAGCTTCAAAATAGGAGGCGACGCTCGGTGCTAAAGGCCCCGATGATCGTAAATCAACGCCTACACCGTCTGCAAACGACGTGGGTGAACAATAAAAGGGCATTCACTTGGGCTAGTTGGTGGTATGTACATTTCAGGGTTAAAAGCGCTAAAAAAAAACGAGGACTAGTAAAAGAAGACAGACACACAGTAGAGCGCACTTGGAACTGAGGTTTAATCGGACTTAAATCAAAGAAGAAACATATATGCCTTGTCAACAACCATCCACGTCATGTAAACACATTGTCCAATAATCTATGTATGATCTTTCTAGCTTGAGCTAACAAAGGACTGTAGATACGTCACTTCCGAATCGTACAATGCTATCGATGGGGCGCTAACGCACGTGTCGCCGTTGCACTTCCTTTTGAAAAACGCCTTCGAACTTTTCCTAGTCATTTTGTTACGATTCCTGCTCAGGATAACAGTTTCCTGAAGCTTTGGGGCACAATCGCATCGGTTGCAGTGTATCGCAAGATTACCAGAGGGCGAAGATCTTACTGCCAGTGTGTGTTCCCTTAGTTTGTCGTTGATGCACCTTCCGGTTTGTCCTATGTAAACCCTCACACACGTTAAATGTATTCTATACACCACCCCTTCCTTGTATTCCACACATTTAGTTCCATGCTTCTTCTTACATATACCCACCCTTAAATCTCCCTTTTTTATGCTTGCACACAGTTTACTCAATTTCTGAGGCGTTGAGAGTAGTGCCGGTACTCCACGTTTTTCGTGCACTTTTTTCAGACTATGGCTAAATTTGTACACATATGGTATCACGGTCGGTCTAACATTCCGCTTGACCTTCCCACTACACTACCCCTTCTCCCTCCCCGAAGTTTCCGTAACAATCTTTCTGCCACATGTTTAATAAGCGTAAAAGGGTACCCTCCATCCTCTAGTTTCTTCAACTGTATACCAAAACCGTCCACTATTTTGTGTGAGCACGACTCAGTCAGCGAGGCTCCGAAGCACGTAGTGGCAATACCTCTCTTAATAATTTTAGAGTGGTTTGAGTCGTAGAGTAACACCGCTTTCCTTGCTCTGGAGGAGTACATCCAACACGCATGGGACGGCAGAAATATCAGTTTCAGGTCCAAAAATTGTAAAATGCACTGTACAGGGTCTTCTGTAGTGAACCTCAGACCGGCGGAGCAGTTTTTAAAAACATCCAACTTTTTTTTTTTTTTTTTAATAAACTCTGCTCTTTTACTTTCTTCCCCCGAGTGGAGCAGTACCAGGTAGTCATCTACATACCTAAATATTCGGATGATATTCTATCTAGTTTAGCTTCAATATCTCTGTCGCATTTTGCCAAAAATAAATCAATCAGAACTGGAGCCACGTTCGTCCCAATACATATATCTTCCTTCTGTATGCATTGCGAACCTTCGAACGCAATATAGGTGGACTCCAGATAGAAGCTCAACATCTCCAAGAAACTCCTTCCATGGATACTACATCCATTTTGGAACTTAACTTCCCCGTACGTATCGACTGCTTCTCGTACACTTTCGAAGAGTTCCCTATGAGGTATCGAGTAAAATAAGCTTTCCACATCAAAGGAAACCGCTCGACAGGAACCAGGGTTAGAGTTTCTGAGAAATTGATTTACACCCTCTGAGTTACACACCTTGAAAGGGTCCTGGCACTGAAGACGCGACAGGTGTCTTTGAAGATAACATCTGTAGTTTCCATGATCCCCTCTGTGTAACTATGGCCCTGAATGGCATACTCTCTTTATGTGTTTTACTGAGAAAAAAATCTTAAGATGAAGATCCTTAGTCCGTACTCTTGAGGTCTTTAGCCTGTCAAGGCCCAGACTGCGACACATTTCGACGGCCCTATCCTTTACCTTCGTAAGGGAGATCTTTTTCCCTTCTTTAAATTCTTTATGGCCGCCTGTTTACTTCTTTCTAGAAAATCACCCTCAGGGACAAGGACAAAGTTACCCTCCTTATCAACCACCAGTGACATAGATATTGAAGCTAAACTAGATACTGTGATAGTAATATCATCCGGTTATTGAGGTATGTAGAAGACTACCTGGTACTGTTCCCCTCGGGGGAAGGAAGTAAAAGAGCAGAGTCTATTAAAAAAAAAAAAAAAAAGTGGGATGTTTTTAAGAATTGCTCCGTCAGGGTCTGAGGTTCACTAAGAAGGTCCTGTACAGTGCATTTTACAAATTTTGGACCTGAAACTGATATTCCTGCCGTCCCATGAATATTGGATGTACTCCCCCAGAGCAAGGAAAGCGGTGTTACTCTACGACTCAAACCACTCTAAAATTATTAAGAGGTATTGCCACTACGTGCTTGGGAGCCTCGCTGACTAAGTCCTGCTCACACAAAATAGAGAACGGCTTTGGTGGTATACAATTGAAGAAACTAGGGGATGGAGGGTATACCCTCTTACGCTTATTAAACATGCGGCAGAAGGATTGTTACGAAACATTTGGGGACGGGGAAGGGTAGTGAAAAGGTCACGCGGAATGTTAGACCGACCGTGATACAATATGTGCACAAATTTAGCCATAGTCTGAAAAAAGCGGGCGGAAAACATGGAGTACCGGTACTACTCTCAACGCCTCAAAAATTGAGTAAACTGTGTGCAAGCATAAAAAAGGGAGATTTAAGGGTGGGTATATGTAAGAAGAAGCATGGCACTAAATGTGTGGAATACAAGGAAGGGGTGGTGCATAGAATACCTATAACGTGTGGGAGGCTTTACATAGGACAAACCAGAAGGTGCATCAACGACAGACTAAGAGAGCACGCACTGGCAGTAAGATCTTCGCCCTCGGGTAATATTGCGATGCACTGCAACCGATGCGACTGTGGCACAAGGCTTCAAGAAACTATTATCCTGAGTAGGAATCGTAACAAAATGACTAGAGAAATTTCGGAGGCGCTTTTCATTAGGAAGTGCGTCGGCGACACGTGCGTTAGCGCGCCATCGATAGCATTGTACGATTCAGAAGTGGCGCATCTACAGTCCTTTGTTAGCTCAAGCTAGAAAGTTTATATGTAGATTATTACACAATGTGTGTACATGACGTGAATGGCTGTTGATAAGGCATATATGTTTCTTCTTTGGTTTAAGTCATATTAAACCTCAGCTGCAAGTACACTCTACTGCGTGTGTGTCTTCTTTTACTGGGCTCGTTTCTTAGCACTTTTAATCCTGAAAAGTGGGTGAATAACGTCGAGAAGTATAAATTAGGGACAGCAGGAAAACCAAGTACTTTTTTATCAGCCACGCGGATAAATGTATCCCGGCCGTTCCTGGCATGACTGCATAAACGTGCGGGTCCAAGAAAGTCCTTCGTAACTTCCGCACATTTTGTGCGGCACAAATCTAACAGTTCCTACCCCGCTGCAGCACGTCGTGTGAGCCCATGAATTCAAGCAATTAGTTCGGGAATTGGGCCGCCAGGGGGATAGTTGTCATACGCATAGGGTGTAACACAAAGAGTGGCCACCACCATAGGCCCCAGTAGCTTGCTCGGCTGTCAGCGGACCTAGCGGCTTTTGTGAAGTTGCTCTCGGTTCCCGGTTTAGGCGTTTCTGTTCACAGCTTTTTTCCCTTGTCGCCTTTCCAACATTGTAAATGTTTAAAACAATAAAAGTAGTATTAATATTATTACTCAAGGACGTTTAAATAGGGCTGGACCCGGCATGACGTCAGGCTCAACGACGCCGAAAAAAGAACTCAATCCCAGACTCCTTGAGCACCGACGGGCCCTCAACCAAACTCCCATCGTCTGCTCCGTGCCTGCGGTCTGCTTCAACTGCCCGCTGTCGCAGCTGACTTTCGATACGATCGGAGCACAAAACGAAGATGCGAACCCGCATTTTGATCACTGCGGAGGGCAGCTGACACCTGCTGAAAGCAGGGCTTGTACGGCTTTCTCAAACCAGGGTGTCATTTGTTCGTACGACGCCTGACACGATCGCTTTCCAAAGCCGCGCGATGACGACTCGCTTAGATGACGTTGCCGGCGCGGTGTCGAGTTTCTCTACACGCCGACTGCGTGTACTGTTCAGGCAAGTGTTGGGTTCCAAATCTCACCTGTTCGACCCCGATTCAGTGGACGCCGCCACGAAAATACGGGGCAAATAACTGCGTTGGCTTGGCAGTGCTATGGCAACGCGGTTCTTTGTCCTGTTCTTTTTTTTATGGTGGCGTTCCTTAACTGAGTTTCCTGATGATAATGAAAACTACCCGAGACTGTGGTAAAAAAAAACGCGAGTAACATAGTAAAAAAAAAAAAAAAAGAAATCATCTCAATATCTGAGGGATTGATGGGGACATTTCGTGGCCACGCCTACTTCCGTTACACCTCTTGTCCATTATAACTTCCTTGCGTTCACTACATGGCCAGACTTGTGCCTATCTCAAATACTCTACACAGGATACTGTATTGCAAATACTTTTTAAAGTATCTTGGTATCTTGCAAATACTTTTGACGGAGAGTATTTAATACTCTATCTTAATTACGTTTCTGAGTATCTTATACTTCTTATCTCAAATACATTTTTGACATTCCGCCATTTTTCGAGTTTTTCGGTGTGGAGTGGCGTGGGCGTGGCACGAGCAAACGTGAATATTCTTTCGAGCAACCATATCCTGTTGCTAGCTCCGATTAGCTAAGATGACCTTGGTTGGTGAACCCCTTTGGGTGAGCTCGTAAGAAAAACATCACTTTTTTGCCGATTCTGACTCATATTTCAGCATAAAGTTCGTACAATGAATTTTTTTCCCCTCGCCTTCCCAAAGGCGCTTTTTGTTTCCTAGAGTTTCCCCTCAAAATCCTCAAACAAAAGGGGCGGTTTTACGGAAGTTAGGATTGAATGCCACACTGAGGCGCGACGCAGACCGAGAAACGACCTATGACAACAATGCAGACTTGAGTGTCAAGAATATAACAAATAAAAAAAGAGAGAATTGGACAGAAAAAAAAGAAAGCATTTTTGTTTTGCTTGTTATATATTTGACCCCCCTACGGCAAAACGTCTAGGCTTCCTTTTGCCTATTTTTTTTTTTGTCGTCAGTCCGGCATTTATTGCTCTTGCGGACAATGTCGGTAAGCGAACTTTGATAAGCGGAGGACAGGACAGGAAACGAGCTAAAAGCTAGATG